GAGGTTGAGTGCTTTGCCCAACAGTTCTCAACCGGCCTCGAGCAGACAGAGGCTTATCTGTCCCGACGGCCCCGCCGTCCACTCAGATCCCTCAGTCTGCCCACTGCCGAAGGTGCCCTCCTGCGGCTTCCACTACGCCTGTTCACACAGGCTGGCTCTGGAGGCCACAGTGGGACACCACAGCCCTCTCTGAGCCCCGCCCCTGCTATACGCCGGGTTAAGTGGCGCTCCTGAGACAGGCTGCTCAGGGATGTTGATGGTTACTTCTCAGGAGATGGTAGCAGGACCACTCCTTCCCCTGGTGGAGGGCCGGCGGAGAATCTTTTGTTTTTTAAAAGAAGTAACACATCCATCCCTGAGCACACAGAGTTCTTGGACGACACGGTGCACCGCCCCCGAGCCGTGCACCCCTCGTCCTCCTCTGTCCCAGAGTCGGATGACAATGCGAGCCGTCCTCGGACCGTGCCACTCTCATCCCTTTCTGTCGCCAGCCCCTGGCAGAGCAGACCCCCGTGGGACGTTCATCCTCCCCTCGTCTCCTCTGTCAGGATGACTGCGCCCCCATCGGGCCGTTATGCCGTCCGTGTCCGGGCCAGTCATTCCGCTTCGCTGCACCTCTGGTGGGGAGTCTGTGATCCGTTGACCCCACTGGTACAGTTTTGGTAGCCTGGTTAGAACTTCCCAATCTGTCCCGCTGGATCGCTCGGACGATCAGGCTCGGCTACGTGATTCAGTTTGCATGGTCTCCTCCCCGCTTCAGGGGAGTCCGCTCCACATTGGTCGGTGGCTATGCCCCTATCATGAGAGCGGAGATTGCTACCCTGCTGGCGAAGGGTGCTATCGAGACTGTCCCTCCAGCCGAAATGAAGTCCGGCTTCTACAGCCCGTACTTCATTGTCCCCAAGAAAACCGGTGGGTTACGGCCAATCCTGGACCTGCGTGTGTTGAACCGCTCCCTTCTTAGGCTGCCGTTCAAGATGCTCACCGCCAAACGCATTTTCGAATGTGTGCGGCCCCAGAATTGGTTTGCAGCAATCGACCTGAAGGACGCCTACTTCCATGTCTCCATTCTTCCTCGACATATCAGTACGTGGTTCTCCCTTTCGGGCTAGCTCTGTCTCCTCGCGTCTTCACGAAGGTCGTCGAGGCAGCCCTTGTTCCCCTCCAAGAACACGGGGTTCGCATCCTGAATTACCTCGACGACTGGCTGATCCTAGCTCACTCTCGAGATCAGGTTTGTGAACACAGGGACCTCATGCTCCAGCACCTAGCTTGTCTGGGCCTTCGGGTCAACTTGGAAAAGAGCAAACTTTGCCCCGTGCAGAGGATCTCTTTTCTCGGTATGGATATTGACTCGGTCGTCATGTCTGCGCAGCTTACGAACGAGCGCGCGCAGTCACTGCTGACTTGCCTGAGCAGTTTGAGGGCAAGAGTGCGGTTCCACTGAAACTTTTTCTGAGGCTCCTGGGGCATATGGCATCCGCAGCCGCAGCAACGCCGCTTGGATTGCTTCATATGAGACCGCTTCAGCATTGGCTTCATGACCGAGTCCCGAGGTGGGCATGACATCACGGCACGCTCCGGGTACCAATTACTCTGACCTGTCATCAGACCTTCACCCCGTGGAGGAACTTCAGTTTTCTACGGCCGGCATGTCCCTGGAACGAGCTTCCCGGCATGTCGTTGTAACGACATATGCCTCTGCCACGGGCTGGGGTGCCATGTGCAATGGACATGCTGTCGCGGGCTCCTGGACGGGTCCCCAGCAAATTTGGCATGTCAATTGCCTCGAGTTGCTGGCTGTACAGCTCGCTCTGCGCCGCTTCCGAGCCGTGCTCAAGAACCAGCATGTACTAGTCCGAACAGACAAAACTGTAGCGTACATCAACCATCATGGTGGTCTGCGCTCCCGCTCTATGTCACAACTCGCCTGCCACCTCCTCATATGGAGTCAGAAGCGCCTGAGGTCCCTTCGTGCCGTTTATACTCCCGGAGCCCTGAACCGTGCAGCCGACGAGCTGTCCCGGTTTTAGACCCTCCTTGGAGAATGTGCGACTCCATGCCCAGTCGGTCCAGCTGATTTGGGACCAGTTCGGGGACGCACAGATAGATCTGTTTGCCTCTCACGACTTGACCCATTGCGCCCAGTATTATTCCCTGACCGAGGGCACGCTCGGCACGGATGCACTGGCGCACAGCTGGCCGCAGGGCCGCAAATATGCGTTTCCCCCAGTGAGCCTTCTTGCGCAGACCCTGCGCAAGGTCAGGGAGGACAAGGAGCAGGTCATTCTGGTCGCGCCGTATTGGCCCACCCGGACCTGGTTCTCCGAACTCACTCTCCTCGCGACAGCACCTCCTTGGCCCATTCCTCTGAGGAAGGACCTCCTTTCTCAGGGACACGGCACCCTGTGGCACCCTCGTCCCGATCTTGGAACCTCCACGTGTGGCTCCTGGACGGGACGAGGCAGGTTTGAGTACCCTACCACCAACGGTGGTGGCTACCATCACTTCCGCTAGGGCGTCGTTCACTAGACACGTCTATGCGTTGAAGTGGAACCTCTTCGTCAACTGGTGCTCTTCGGTCTCGGGCTGGACGGTCTCGGGCTGGACGGTCTCGGGCTGGACGGTCACGGCTGGGCTGGACGGAACCAGCAATGAGGAGGGTTCAGGCTCAGCGGGGCTGGACGGAACCAGTGAGGAGGACGGCTCAGGCTCGGCGGGGCTGGACGGAATCAGCGATGAAGAGGGCTTAGGCTCAGCAGGGCTGGACGGAACCAGGGATGAGGAGGGTTCAGGCTCGGCGGGGCTGGACGGAACCAGCGATGAAGAGGGCTCAGGCTGGAAGGCGATGATGGCTGGTGAGGTGAAGATGGTGGGTGGGTGTGGTTGAGTGGTGCTGTCATCTTCAGCCTCACCAACAGTGAAGGCTGACCCACTCAACCACAACTCATGGTCCAGGTAACCGGCGAGGGTTCCTGGAAACGCTGCTGCTGGGGCTTGCTGGTACAGATGATCATCCAGGCCCAACCAAAAGACAGTCTTGGAGATTTCATCTGACAAGCTTACCCCAGCAGAGAGTTCCAGGAATTTGGCAACATACTCCTCTATGGCCTGACCATCTTGGAAAATATTGAAAAATGGAGAGCTGGGGTGAGGAGAAGTCCCATGCTGCCACTACTTTAGGTCGGTCGTTCTGTCACGGTTTGTGGTGCAGTGCAGGCAGAAGAAGAAGACCGAAGAGGCAAATGCTCCAATTCAATTACTTTAGTTAAACTCAAAACCAGGTACACTCACCAAACCAAGGGTAACAGTTACAACGACCGACAAAGACTGACTGAATGAGGGAGAACTAAATACAGGCAGGAATCAAACATAATGAGGTGAAAACAGGTGACACAGATGATCAAGGTGGCTGATGAGGGAGTGAGTTCAGGTATGGAGACAAGAGGATCCTGGGACGTGTAGTGCAGATGACAAAGACAGACTGGTGCAGACGAAGGACTATGACACAACTGTGCTGCGCTAGTGACTAGCGCTGTCACCGAAAAAAAAGTTTACCCTACTTCCCGTCTCGGTGGCCATTTTTGTGAAATAGGCCTATTCTTTGTATGCGTGTAGCTAATTTTTTTGGATATTTTAACCTCACACATGGCACCTTTAAGGAGAGTTTAGATTTATTTATTTTAGCTATGGATATATCAAATAACCTAACTATAAGCATCACAAAAAGGACTCTTTGCCCCTGTTCTCTACATTCTTAAAACAGTTATGAAAGTCTGCAATTTATTGTCATGCTATTCAGGACAATTCTCTGAGAGACCTAAAAGAACATGAGGCCTTAAAAAATTCGACCTTTTAAAAGTTTATAAATGCGTGTGTGAGTGTGTGCGTGCGAGAGAGTTATTAATGCTTGCATGTGTTAAAGGCAGGGTAGGTAAAATTTTTCTAAAAAAAACTTTTTCCCAAATTTGTTTAAACTGTCTATGTATACCAATACATAAATATAATATAATAAATGTAAGAACTCTGAAAAAGTATACAAATCGTGTGTCTGTGGTCCTCTCAGTGCTGCAATAAACACAGCTCATTATTTCCAACTGGGACAAAATAAATGATTGGCTGGGCGACTGCCACTCTCCCTCGCTACCATGGCTACCAGCACTGCAGCGTAAGAACATGCATGCACACGTTTGCTCGAGGAGTGGAACGAAAGAGACAAGGAAGCTAGGAAGAATCACAATTATGGCAGAAAAAGAGGAGTCAAAAGAAGACAGTATTTGAAAAGGCTATGACCAAAAAGTCTTTGGATAAAGCAAGAAGTCAGACGAGAGTCAATATCGGCGGTGCTTTCCAGCCGTGGCGACAACTGACAACCAGGGGCTGAAGAGTGACGCCAACAGTGCTTTCTTGGAAGCTTTTACATGTAGAACACCGTATATGTTATGAATTTTACACAAAATTCACCTTCATCACAGTGTAACTGATGGTAATGGGAAAACGTGTATCAATGCAAGCAACCTGTTTTTAGTTTATGTTACTAGCTCGTAACCGAATCAAACTCGATATATTTTAAACTTTACCATTACCAGTATTGATGTGCTAGCTTGATAGTGAGTACTACCAGCCATGTTAGTTGTTTATATTAATGATAAAGTTAGGCATTTTATTACATGTGATTCTGACATGATGTGGTGCTGGTAATGGCGTCCTCCAGCTGAGCGCGGTTGGCAGCGTGCGTTCATGTGTTTTGGGGACGTGGCTTTGTAAGGATCCCAGAAAGGAGGGGGTGGGAGTCAATTAAATAATGAGCTGTGTTTATTGCAGCACTGAGAGGACTACATACACTCGATTTGCATACTTTCTTTCTATTTTCAGAGTACTTACATTTTAATTATGTATTGGTGTATATATAGACAGTTTAAACAAATTTAGGGAAAAGGTTTTTTTTTTTAGAAAATTTTAACCTACCCCATCTTTAATTAATAATTAATGTGTTGCAGGGTCCTCATGGATTCCCTGGCCCAAAGGTACGTCATTACTGGGTGGAGCATAAATTAAGTTAAAGGATTAGTTCACTTTTGAAAAAACTTTTGCTGATAATTTACTCACACCCATGTCATCCAAGATATACATGTCTTTCTTTCTTCAATCGAAAAGAAATTAAGGTTTTTGATGAAAACATTCCAGCATTTTTCTCCATATTATGCATTTCAGTGGGAACCAAGGTTCAAGGTCCAAAAGACACTTATAAGCTCAAATGGTCGCCTTGCTCTGTACTGCGATGCACGTTCATGACTCTCCTGTTCGAACTCGTTCATCAAAATGAACGAATCTTTTTTCTAGTCAATTTGTTCGTTTCGTTCGTTGAATGAACCAAATGACTCAGAAAAAGATTCGTTTCGAGTTTGTACTGAAAGTGTCTTTTGGACCTTGAACCGTTTGAAGTGCATTATATGGAGAAACGTGCTGGAATGTTTTCATCAAAAACCTTAATTTCTTTTAGACTGAAGAAAGAATGACATGGACATCTTGGATGACATGGGGGTGAGAAAATTATCAGCAAATGTTTTTTTCAAAATTGAACTACACCTTTAATGCCTTTCTGAATTACCACATTTGGGGCCCTATTTTAACGATCTGAAATACAAGTATCAAGCGCGATCTTGGGCGCTGTTGCTATTTTACCGGCGGGATAAATGACTCTTGCGCCCAACGCAAGTTTAAAAGGGGTTGGTCTGAAATAGCTTCATTATTCATAAGTGTGGTTTTGGTGTAACGTGAAATAAACCAATCAGAGTGTCATCCAACACACCTTTAAGAGCAGGTGCGCACGTTGCATGGCGGATTGTTAATATTATGGCAGGTTTACCAGGTGCGCTCCAGGAGCGTTCACAGCCGAGGAGACCAACGTTCTTGTCAGGGCAGTGAAAGACTGGTAAACTGGTCTAATCCTTACTACAATTAGCCTGAAAAATGTGGGTAAATGTGTAAGCTAGATTTAGGCCTACATTTTTTTACATCTTCATGGACACCACTGTCAGGTAGAGGGCGTGGCCAGGGCGGAGCAGGTTGAGGGCGTGGCCAGGGCGGAGCAGGTTGAGGGCGTGGCCAGGGCGGAGCAGGCTGAGGACGAGACCAGGGCGGAGAAGACCGAGGGCGAGACCAGGGCGGAGCGGACCGAGGGCGAGACCAGGGCGGAGCGGGCTCAGGGCGAGACCAGGGCGGAGCAGACTGAGGGCGAGACCAGGGCGGAGCGGGCTCAGGGTGAGACCAGGGCGGTGAGGGCCCTTCGGGAGGCCACGGCGGTGAAGACCCCGAAGGAGTTCTAGGGAGCCACAACTGAGCCAGAGGGACCCAGAGCCGAGGCGACACCACAGATCTGGAGGGCCAAGGCGGATCTGCAGGCTCATGGGACCGAGGCGGAGAAGGGGCTCTGAAAGCCCGTGGGGTAACCAGTGTGAGGGAGGACAACTGAGGAGCAGGAGGGAAGATGGAGCCTGGTGGAGCAGAAGGGATGCAGGGCAGAGGCGAAGCCGGTAGCACAGAGTCCCGAGGTGGAACCAGGGTGACGGCTGACCAATGCGAGGAAGGAAGGAGGAGTGAGCCTGGTGGAGATATAGGGCTGACGAGACCCGGCGGAGATGAGGGCACAATGAGCCGAAGAGAAGCTGTAGGGTCGGAGGGCCAAGGTAGAATCAGAGGTTCAGGGGATTGAGGCGAGGATAGGGGATCCACTGACCAGGGCGATGCTGAGGCCTGGACACCTGGAAGTGGTTCCACAGCAATACTGGCGGGTAGCTGTGGATGGGCAGCAGGGTCGACAGGGCTCAGTAGAGGCAAAACAGTAGAACCTGAAGACACCAACAGCGGAGGTGGGAGAGGGAGGCAGGCGCGGGCTTCAGACTCTGGCGCGGGTTCAGCGGGCTCTGGCGAAGCGGTCTCGGGCTGGGCTGTCTCTGGCTGGGCTGTCTCGGGCTCTGGCTGGGCTGTCTCGGGCTCTGGCTGGACGGTCTCGGGCGCTGGCTGGACGGTCTCGGGCGCTGGCTGGACGGTCTCGGGCGCTGGCTGGACGGTCTCGGGCGCTGGCTGGATGGTCTCGGGCGCTGGCTGGACGGTCTCGATCGATGGCTGGACGGTCTCTGGCGATGGCTGGACGGGCTCGGCGGGGCTGGACGGAACCAGCGATGAGGAGAGCTCGGGCTCGGCGGGGCTGGACGGAACCAGCGATGAGGAGAGCTCGGGCTCGGCGGGGCTGGACGGAACCAGCGATGAAGAGAGCTCGGGCTCGGCGGGGCTGGACGGAACCAGCGGAGATGAGGGCTCGGGCGTTGGAGTGGGGCTGGTGACGTCATCGACGGTGAAAGATGATCCACAGCATACCAGCACCCACTCCACATAAGCCGCGAAGCTCCACTGGGGACCCTTCCCGGACAACTGCTCTCTGGTGGCGGTGTTGAGGCCGGCATATAAAAAGCTGCAGAGGCTGTCGTCCGGGAAGGTTGTAGAGGGAACGAGGTAGAGGAAATCCTCCAGATGTTCCTCTAAGGAACGGTCTCCTTGCTCCAAACAGAGCAGTTCCACGGCTGCAAAGGAGTCCGTTTTGATTGGGTCGGTCAATCTGTCACGGTGCTGTGCTGGCAGAAGAGGACAAGGAGTCAGGATTCCAATGACAACAATATTTATTCAAAATACAGGAAGGAAGACAGGTTTCAGGAACACGCAGGGTAACATTCACACATTGACCGACAATAACTGAATGAAACAGAGGAACTAAATACAGGGAGGAATCAAACATAATGAGGTGCAAACAGGTGAAAATGATGAAACAAGACGCTGAACGGGAGGCTGATGAGGGAGTGAGTTCAGGTGTGCAGACGAGAGGATCATGGGAAGTGTAGTGCTGATGACAAGACAGACTGGTGCAGACGAGGGCTGTGACAACCCTTGAATGATTTCCCTCAATGTGTTAATATTTTTCCTTGTTATTATGTATGATTTGCAAAAATAAAAACTGCTGCATCTGTGTTGATGAGAGAATTAAAGTTGTGCACCCGCTACATTATGGCCAAGCATTCACACTTAAAATAGCATTATGAACAATGCGCAACACGCCATTGACTTTAGACTTTAGACTTTAGGGCCCTTGGTGTTTTAAGGCACGCTGCATACTTGGCATTAATTGTTCATAGAGCAAATCACCTTCTGTCAAACTTAAAGGTAATTACTTGCTTAGTGATAGTTTGGACATACAGAATCCTTTGAGACTTGCAGCAGTTCGTCTCATGTTACAGAGCATTCCCTAAACTGTTGTCTGTACTCCTATTTAGGGGGAACCAGGTTTGCCTGGTCTCAAGGGACTGCGAGGGGAGACTGGGTATAAGGGTGACAGAGGACCCCTGGGTCTCCCTGTAAGTACACTACAGCCGTGCATCCTAGGATCTTAGTCCTCTATCCTCACTTATTTCGACTCAACATCTTCTACCCTTTCCATTTGTTTGCTGTTATAAATGTATGTTTTTATTGTCCTGACTTGTGCAGACAACCAAGCTTCATTTGCTGCCCCTTAATCTTTCTCAATCTGTGTTGGTTAAATGTCTATTTGTTTATCTTTGTTAACAGCTGTTAAGTTTTTTTTTTTTTTTTTGGCCAGTTCACTCATCACATACTAATTGCACTTTTCAAACCTCCACTCATACTTCCATAAATGCACAGGGAGCTTCTGGCTTGGATGGCAAGCTGGGACCCAGGGTGAGTCTCAAGCCATGTTTCACCAACCCCCCAACCCCCCTATCCCCCTAACCTCCCTACATCTTTGAAAAAATACCAAAATGGGTCATTTGACACATTTATGATGAACGGGGAATGTTGTTATTCACATTATTGGTAATGTTTCATCAAAGTTCAGCTCTATTGGCTCGTTTCCACTGATCGGTATGGTACGGTATGGTATGGTACAGTACGGTACAGTACAGTACGGTTCGGCTCATCATGATCCAGCTAGCGTTTCCACCGCCAACAGTACCCTTACTTGATAGGCGAGGTGTTTGCCGAAAAGCAGCGAACAATATCATTTTCGTGTGAAGAAGAAAGACACATAGTAAACAACAATGGATAACATACAGCAGATCATATTTCTCAATACCAAGTAGCCTACGCAAAGTCCAACTCAGAAGAATGAGTCCCGAGGACACAAGTCCAGTAATTCTGCTAATAGAACAGCGTTGTTCTTGAAAGTGTCACTCAGCGCACTCTCCAACTCCGGCTATCTCTGTATGTAGGCTACATTTTAGGCAACAATAAAACAAAATATGTTATAAAACACCACTGTGCTTATTTTCATTTAAATACATTTTAAACAGTATAGGCAAACAAATGTGGTTCAGCCAACGCATAGCCTGATTATATTCACTGCATGTAAGGTAACCTATTTGTTACATAACTAAATCTAAAACACATCCCTGCCTCTTTTCGTTTGAATTTAAAAATATTAAACTTATTCCAGGCAATATGTAACGTATTGCATATTGCATTGGTACAAATGTTGCAATAAACAACATTACAGATGATCTGTAATAAAATAAAAAAATGACAAAACTCAACCTCTCTCAATCTCTTTTTGTTAGATTTTAGTTTTATCATTATTTACCATACCGTATACCATTATACAAGTATGAGGTACAAAAAGCTATACAGTAAATCTTATAACATAAAGCAAACAATTGAGTCAAATATACAGTGCTTAAATATGTGAAACTTCACTATTCTAGCCTTCTGCCAAAACTATTGGCCAGGGAACAAATTATAGATTCACAAGACCAAAGATCGCCTGTTAGGTCTATACAAGACGAAGTATATCTCATGTTTAACCACTACAGAGACGTCAGAGTCAGCGGCGGCAACCATCAGAACGACTAGCCGAGGAAAGGCTGTTCCAGGCGGGTGATTGCTTGGAATGGATCTCAGTCAAATTATCATGAATCTATAAATAAACTACATATTTGAGCTTTAAAAAAACTACATTCTCGCCTGAAAAACTCTTAAAACTACACTTCATGACACAATAACAGTAGTATTATATCTCAACTGTATATTTTAAAAATGCCGCTTCTAATGCCCTTGTAGCACGCGCAAGTGACAATACTCTGTCAACCAATGTAGCTCCACCATTTAGTACCGTACCACTGTGCTATGTACCTCAACAGAAGGGTATCCAAAAAGTGGTACGGTATGGTTAGACTTTTTGGTATCATTCACAACTTTTGACAACCGTACCGTATCGCTCAGTGGAAATGAGCCATATGTGGCAGTGAAAGATTGGCAGTGAAAGAGTTAGGGCCTTATTTTAACGATCTAAAACGCAAGTGTCAAAGCAACTTTGTGGTAAAGTAACTTTGTGGGCGGATCCCGGCGCTGTTGCTATTTTCCCGGCGGGATAAATGCCTCTTGCGCCTGGTGCAAATCTAAAAGGGGTTGGTCTGAAGTAGCTTCATTATTCATAGGTGTGGTTTGGGCGTAACGGAAATAAACCAATAAGAGCGTCATGTCACATTCCCTTTAAGAGCGTGATGAACGAGGTGCGCTTGTTCCATGGCGCAATTCTGTTTTAACGGCACATTTACCAGACGCACTTCACAATCGGTTCACAGCCGAGAAGATCGATGTTCTCATCAGGGCCGTAAAAGAAAGAGAATGGACATTGGGGATGGGACAAACCCACCCAAATTAGCTTCGGTTAAACATGCATATAATAACTTGTGTAAGTTTTATGCCTATTTTTCCCCATCATCATGGACACAACAATGATTTCCCTCCTGTTTATATATTTTCTTATAATAATGTATCATTTGCAAAAAGTAAAATGCATCTGTGTAGCTGAGAGAATCATCTACAGTGTATGCTCGTTGTTCACTCTCTGTATTATGGCCAAGCAGGCGCGCTTAAAATAGCATTATGAACAACGCGCAACGCGCCACTGACTTTAGACCAGGTTTTTTTGATCATTGGCGCAATTGTTTTCTGCAACTGCAAAATAGCACTAGGAATTGTTTGCGCCGACACACGCCTCCTTTTTGCGCCAACCCGCCCAGGGAGCGCAAGTTAATTTCCTAGTTTACCGACGTGCATCGTTACGTCGGAATGACGGAGAATGGGGGTTTCGCATAGAAAGCCAATCCTCTTCGAGTATTTAACAACGAGCCAATGGCATGAAATGCCTTGGGGCTGCAGAAATTTGCATAGCGTAACTCCGCCCCACCCCGTGGGTATAAAAGGAGGAAGTGAACGCAACCGCAGTATGTCTTCGCTGAGGAGCCGAGACTGAACTCAGGTGTCTACCCAGCGGTACAGCAGAAGTGGCAGGGAGACGTAACGTCTCCATTCCCTACTCAGGGAACGAGGGTTACATCCCCAACCGAGACGTTCCCTTTCGTAGTCACTCCGAGTTATGTCGGAATGACGGAGAATGGGGATCTGTGCCATCACGCCATCTTCACAGCTGTCTTTCAGTGCCCTGTGAAAGTCTGGACTCCTAAACTTAACTTATAACCAGGAGTTCCTACTTTAACACAGGAATACCAAGGTACACTGGGAAGCATATCCCGGGAGGGACATGCTACCAAATGCCTACCGTAGGGAAGACTTAAGAATACACATATGGCCGTGTAGGGACTACATATGGAGATCACTGGAGCACCAACCTAAGGGTGGCTAGAATCTTAGTCCCAGGTGTGGCAGATGGCTTGCCAAGGGAAGACACATGCTCAGAGAGGCTTACAGTGGATAATACACATGTGACAGTTACCATAGGGAACCGTGCACACGGAGGCACCTAGCCGGCACCAGAGCAAGAGCAGTGGTGCCCGCATCAGGAGTGCTGGAGGACTCAACTGAGGAATATCGCACTTATCCAGTCCGAGGAGTGGAATGGCGAGCAAGCGAAGACACCTAAGCGGGTCCAGTACTGGCGGGAGCGAGTACGCGAGAGGACACCGGCTCTATTCGCAGATAAGAATCTTGCGAAGGTGTTTGGTGTCGCCCAGCCTGCAGCTCTGCAATGTCTATTAGCGAGGCGCCATGCGCTAAGCCTAAGAGGAAGCCACACTCCGAGTGGAGTGGGCCGTCACACCAAGGAGGCACGGTCGACCTTGCTGTTGGTAAGCCAAAGCAATGGCGTCCACGAGACAGCCGTTGCTTTGAGAGAGCCCTTCCCCTTCTGGCTCCCCCCATAACAGACAAAGAGCTGGTCTGAGGTCCTGAAACACCGCGTTCTGTCAACGTAGGCACGGAGCGCACGTACCGGACAGAGCAGTGCCAAGGCTGGGTCTGCCTCCTCCGGGGGCAGCGCTTGCAGGTGCACCACCTGGTCCCGGAAGGGAGTGGTAGGAACCTTGGGCACATGTCCAGGCCGGGGTCTCAAGAACACGTGAGAGTAACCCGGCCCAAACTCCAGGCACGCTTCGTCAACGGAGAATGCGTGCAGGTCCCTTACCCTCTTAACGGAGGCCAATGCAACCAGGAGTGTTGTCTACATAGGACAGGACTAAAACTCTACCGATTGCAAAGGCTCCAGGGGAGGTCTCTGCAGAGCACTTAGATCTACTGAGAGGTCCCAAGAGGGCACGAGGGGAGGGCGAGGCGGATTTAGCCTCCTCGCTCCCCTCAGGAACCTGATGACCAGGTCATGCTTCCCAATAGACTTACCTTTCACTGCATCATGAGACACGGCAATGGCCGCGACGTAAACCTTAAAGGAGCAATGTGTGACTTTTAGCGACATCTAGGGGTTCGGTTGCGAGTTTGCACCAGGTTTGCACTAAGGGCTCAGCCCACTGCTCACCCCTCCCTTTCGAAGAAGCTACGGTTGCTAAAACGGGACAAACATCTCGTCGGCTGAGACAGCAGAGAATAGCCAGAGTAAGCCAAGAGTGTGTAACATTGTCACTGTTTCTGTACCACAGTCCATTATAAACCACATCATGAATACTGTCTGTTTACAAAGCCACAGTCAGGTGAGGATCAAGGGTTTTAATATATAATTTAATAAAATAATAATCAGCTGATTGTCTCACAAACGTAACCAGCAGCACATTTCTCCCCACATACTGTAGCAAACCCATAATACAGCTGTGACAGAGAGCTCGGCTGCGCCTCCCTCTGGCTTCATCCGTTCCCTCTCTCCAGATTATTAAGGAACTGCATTTCCCATCTCCCCCTTGGATTTACACCTGCCTAGTTCATCTGATTAGTCCCATCTGCATCACCTGTTCCTCATTATTGCCCCTTTATAAGGACTGTGTTTGTCATTGTGACTTTGCGAAGTCTTGATTCTACCAGCTATCATTACCGAGCGTTTATTCCTGTTTATTGTGATTTTCTGGTACTCTGATCTCTGCCTGGATCCTCGTTTCTGTGAACCTTGCTGCCTGCCCTGACCCTTGCCTGTATGAAGTTGATGATTTTGGATTGCCCTGTTACTAGCACAGTTTATGTCTGTCTATCACTGCTTCATTGCATGTTTAAATAAAACTCTGCAAATGGATCTCAACGCCTCTGCCCCAGCCTTACAACAGCGAGGGAGCAGCTATATATTTTTTATTTTTTAACAGGGTAGTAATAGTTTAGCTGGCTAATATGAGCTGTTACTGTGGCTGAGCTGGGACGCGTCTGCATGAGTCCAAAGGTCGGAAGTGCGCGCGCTGTTACAATCATGTCATCTCCGCATCCCATAGATACTATTTACTACACACAAT